TAACAGGAAATCAAACCTGTAATCTAGGTATGTGTCCTGGCCAGGAATTGAACCCACAACCTTTTGGTGCATGGGACGATAGTCCAACCAACTAATCCACCTGGCCAGTGCTCTCTGTTTTTTATTCTTGATTTCCCCCAATGAGTCTTGAACTGCTTGTTATAACATTTTTCCTTTGCAGTGATAATTAGGTACCCTATTTTTCACTTTATCTAGTTCTTAGGCTTCCCTGAGTTCATTTGTGGACTCCCACAATTGGAATATGACCTTGACTTACTGTTGTCTGGGAGTTTGCTGTATCCCTGGAGAGATCGCTTTTCCCATCACAATCTCAGTCTAGCACTCAAAAAAGATAAGGACTTCTTTTTTTGCCAGCATAGATACATCGTTGCCCATTCCTATCTCTAGGTTTATATTTATACTAGAGGCCCAGTGCATGAAATTCGTGCACGGGAGGGGGGGTCCCTCAGGTTGGCCTGCACCCTCTCCAATTCGGGACCCCTCGGTGGATTTCTGACTGCCAGGATCAGACCCAAACCAGCAGTCAGACATCCCTCTAGCAATCCGGGACTGCTGGCTTCTAACCGCTCACCTGCCTGCCTGTTGGTAGCACCTAACTGCCTCTGCCTGCCAGCCTGATCACCCCCTAACTGCTCCCCCCTACTGGCCTAATTGCTCCTAACTGCCCTCTGCTGCTGGCCTGACCGCCTCTAACTGCCCTCCCCTGCCAGCCTGGTCGCCCCTAACTGCCTCTGCCTTGGCCCCTGCCACTGTGGCTTTGTCCGGAAGGATGTCCAGAAGATGTCTGGTCTAATTAGCATGTTACCCTTTTATTAGTATAGACTAGAGCAGTGGTCGGCAAACTGCAGCTTGCGAACCACATGCAGCTCTTTGGCCCCTTGAGTGTGGCTCTTCCACAAAATACCAACTTCTCTTCATGGGCCACAAAGTTTCAATTGCAGTGTACGTGCGTGTCCGCACATGGTATTTTGTGGAAGAGCCACACTCAAGGGGCCAAAGAGCCGCATGTGGCTCGTGAGCCGCAGTTTGCTGACCACTGGACTAGAGGCCCGATGCATGAAATTCATCCACTGGGAGGAGGGTGCCTCAGCTCACCCTGCACCCTCTCGCAGTCCGGGACCCCTTGCTCCTTACCACTCAACTTACTGCTCCTTAGCGCTGCCATTGAGGCGGGAGAGGCTCCTACCACCGCTGCTGCGCTTGCCAGTCGTGAGCCTGGCTTCTGGCTGAGTGGTGCTCCCCGTGTGGGAGCACACTGACCACCAGGGGTCAGCTCCTGCCTGAGCGTCTGCCCCCTGGTGGTCAGTGCACATCGTAGCGACCGGTCGCTCTGTTCGTTCTTCCGTAATGGTTGCTTAGGCTTTTATTATATAGAAGATAATCCTTAATAATTTTACATGTGCTTGCATGAGTGTGTGGTGATTAGAGTGGCTATGTGTATTAGTAAGTGATTGAACCTATTGATAATTGGACTATGGCAATGTGTTAAAATTGACACTTTGAATTTCGGAAGTTGGGAGAAACATTTTGTATGAAGTGGCAGAATGCTTTTTTTTTCTCAATGTTTTTATTGATTTTAGAGAGAGAAGAAGGGAGAGGGAGAGAGAGATAGCATCATCTATGAGAAAGAAACATCAACATCGATTGGCTGCCTCCTGCACGCCCCATGCTGGGCTTTGAGCCTGCAACTCGGCCATGTGTCCTGACTGGGAATTGAACTGGTGCATGGGTTGACGCTCAACCACTGACCCACACTTTCCTGGCCAGCATACTTTTTATGGTTGCTTTGTTTAGCATATAACAAGAGTCAGCAAATATTTTCTGTTAAAAGATCACATAGTAAATATTTTGTATTTTGTGGGCCATATGGTCTTTATCATAATGACTCAACTCTGCAAAAGTAGTTATAGGCAGTAAGCAAGTGAATGAGCGTGGATGTGTCCTAATAAAAACAGGCAGTGGTCAGATTTGGTCCACGTGCCATGGTTTGCCAGCTTCTGGCATGATGAGTGATACATGCTTTGAAAAATTGGTAATATAAAAGTCAGTTGTTTCTGTAACTAACTTACATAGCACTTTATGATAGCATTGGGTATAAATAAATTTGCTTTAGTAGTAGTAGTAATAATAATAATGATAATAATAATAAAAAAATTTCCCATTAAGTCTTACCAGCCTGAGGAGACAAGGATTGATGTTCAGGACTCATTGGGGGAGAGAATCCCAGTGAACATCCCAGGCTCCTGTTGAAAGCAGCAGGGTTGTACTTGAGGAGGAGGTGAATTAGAGGTAGATAGAACCCTCTTCAAACTGAAACCTCTCCTTGACTCATCTCAGTTCCTGATCATATTAAGGTGATCAGTCCCCATTTTAAGGACCTAGCAGAGAAAAGGATCAGCCCTTATTGAAGAAGATATATGTATAAAAATTGTAATTTTCTGTCATTCTATACAGAATTCATAAGCACATTACCAGACAGAATCATAGCTCCTGATTGGGTAGAGTGTTGTCCTGATACACTATGCTTGTGGGTTTTATCTCCCATCAGAACACATACAAGAATCAACCAATAAATAAGTGGAAAAACAACTCAATGTTTCTCTCTTTTTTGTCTCCCTCCCTTCTCTTTCTAAAATCAATAAAAATAAAAAAGATAGAATCATATGACTAAATATGAAGAGAAAAAAACTCCATACAATATGAACATACCTACAGGTGATCCAGTTATTAGAGTTAATAGGCAAAGACTTTAAAATAATAATTAATATAGCCAATAAAGTAGAAAAAATTGAGAACTTCATTAGAGAATTAGAATCTATAAAAGGGAATTAAATTGAAATTTTAAAACTGAAAAATGCGTTAATTGAATTTTAAATCTCCAGTAAATGGGTTTAACAGCAGATGAGACACAGAAGAAGGCAGGTTAGTGAACTAGAAGATAGTTTCATAAAAAGTCTTGAAATGAAAACATTGAGTGGAGGAAGAATAGAAAATTCATAAAATAGACATGGAATCTAGTTTAAAAGTTCAACATGGGATTCCAAGAAGAGATAATGGGGAAAAGCAAAATGTGTGAAGGGATAATGGTCACAAATTTCCAAAACTGCTGAAAGTTGCCAATCCACAGACTTAAGAAAATATGTTAACCCTAAGCAGAATAAATTTTAAGGAAAATCATACATACATAGACACATTTTTAAAAAATATATATTTTATTGATTTTTTACAGAGAGGAAGGGAGAGGGATAGAGAGCTAGAAACATCAATGAGAGAGAAACATCGACCAACTGCCTCCTGCATACCTCCTAGTGGGGATGTGCCCGCAACCAAGGTACATGCCCTTGACCGGAATCGAACCTGGGAACTTTCAGTCCTCAGGCTGACGCTCTGTCCACTGAGCCAAACCGGTCAGGGCTAGACACATTATTTTTACGACTGTTGAAAACTTTGGGTAAAGTTAAAATCTTAAAAGTGGTCAGAGAAAAATAAGATACTTTACTTCAAAGAAGGAACAGTAAGACTCATGGCTAGCTTTTAAGGATGAAGTATCATGTACCTTAAACATAGATAGAAAAAGAGATATAAATTCCCCTTCTTGTTGTATGAGGCCAGCATAACCTTGAAACAACCCCGTTGAGAACATTGTAAGCAAAGGAAAGTGGAAACCAGTCTTAGGAATATAGGTGCAAAATTTTAAAATATCAGCAAATTGAATTTAGCGATACATAAAAAGGATAATACAGCTAAGTGGATTTAGTTCAGGAATACAAGGTTAGTTTATCATTTGAAAATTAATGCATTATCTCATAAAAGGAGAAAATCATAATTTCTATGACAAAATTCAGCACAAACTGATAATTACTAGTAATAGAAGAGAACTTCTTAGTTATAACAGAGTATCTAAAAATAATCCAACAATAAATTTATACTTAATGCAAGTTATTGAAATATTTTCCCTCTGAGCTCGTAACAAAATAAATGTGCTTACTATTACTCTTTCTTTCGTTTTTTTTTTTTTTTAAATATATTTCTTTATTGATTTTTTACAGAGAGAAAGGGAGAGGAATAGAGAGTTAGAAACATCAATGAGAGAGAAACATTGATCAGCTGCTTCCTGCACACCCCCTACTGGGTATGTGCCCGCAACCAAGGTACATGCCCTTGACCGGAATTGAACCTGCGACCCTTGAGTCTGAAGGCCGACGCTCTATCCACTGAGCCAAACCAGTTAGGGCTATTACTCTTTTTATTGAGCATTATACTGAAAGCCCTAGTCAATGAAATAAGGAAAAAATGGAAAGTAAGGATTGGAAAGGAAGAAATCAGAATTATGCACAGATGACATTATTTACCTATGTACCTAGGTATGCAAATGAATGTAAAGATGAGTTATTAGAATTAAGCAAATTTAGAAGAACCTTTGGATATAACTATGTTCAATATACAAAACTAAGTATATTTCTATATACTAACAATCAAATAGGTAATAGCAGAGAAAAACATTAGCTATCCAGAAATAAATCTAACGAAAGATGTGTAAAACGTATAAAACATTATTAAAATACAGAAGACCTAAATAAATTGAAGGCTGTGTTATGTCTGTAAATGGAAAATTCAATATTATATAGTTATCAGTTTTCCCCAAATTAATATATTTAATACAATCCCAATAATTCACTACACTGCATACTTAATGATTTGCACACTGTTCTGTACATATAGTTCCACAAAAAGTTCAATTAAAAGACGTTGTAACATGTTGGGAGACTTGCACATTTTTCATAGAATGATGTAGACTTAGATTATTATTAATATTTTGGGGACAAATGGTGATATTAGCTGTGATCTTTAATTATGAGTGTTTCCTTTGTTTTGTTCCATTGCTTGGTTATGCAGATGAGATAATATAGATTATTTGGGAAATCTTTAGTATGAAGATTTTGGGTTATATTGAAATATCTAACATTTTTATATTTTAGTTAAATGAAGTAAGTGAAGAAAACAAGAAGATGGAGATTCAGGCTAAAAGAGTTCAAGCTCGTTTAGATAATTTACAGGTAAGTTGCTTATTCTTTTTGGCATAAGTGAATTTTATGATTGCCTTTGGATTTTCTCACTTTTAACATAATTGTTCTTTAATTCATGGATATGTGCTGTTGCAGAGGAAGTATGAATTTATGACAATACAGAGATTGAAAGGAAATTCCCATGCTGTTCATGAAATGAAAAGTTTAAGACAAGAAAAAGTACCAGTTTCAAAAACATATAAGGTATGATATTATTGAAATTTTCTTCAGTGGAAAGCTGGGGAATGTTCTCTTTGTTCTTTAACCTTTTTATTTCATTTAGCAAACATTGTTTTTGGTATGAAAGGAATATTTTTATAACATTTCAAGTATGCCTTTTAAAAAGAATATATATTTATTGATTTCAAAGGGGAAGGAAGAGGGAGAGAGAGATAAAAACATTGATGATAAGAGAATCATTGGCCCTAACCGGTTTGGCTCAATGGATAAGAGCGTCAGCCTGTGGACTGAAGGGTCCCAGGTTCGATTCCGGTCAAGGGCATGTACCTTGGTTGCGCGCGCATACCCAGTAGGGAGTGTGCAGGAGGCAGCTGATCGATGTTTCTCTTTCACCGATGTTTCTAAGTCTCTATCCCTCTCCCTTCCTCTCTGTAAAAAAATCAATAAAACATTAAAAAAAAAGAGAGAGAATCATTGATCAACTGCCTCTTGCATGCTCCACACTGAGGATCAAGCTCACAACCCAGGCTTGTGCCCTGACCGATAATCAAACTGTGACCTCCTGGTTCATATGTTGACACTCAACCACTAAGCCACGCCAGCTAGGCTCAAATATACTTTTATTTGTGAAAGGAAAACAATGTTTCAGCAGTGTTTATGGCACAGTAACACTGATAGACCACAGGATTTAAGTTTAGTAACAGCTTTGTTATTCATTGTGTTTTGAGATTCCATAAGCCTTCATTGTTACTTTTCTATCAAAACTGCAATCCATCCCTTTGTTGGGTTCCATTTATTATTTTTTTCCTAAGAATTTTATTTATTTATTTTGGGGTATAAATTACATGTACCAGTAGTAACATAATACACAGACTCTTAAGTGTACAGTTTGACAGTTTTGACAAGTGCCTACACTCATGTAACCTACAACTAGATATAGAACATTTCCATCACTCTAGAAAGTTCTCTCATGTCCCTTTTCAGTTATTCCTTGCAAGAAATAGTTGTTGATCTGATTTCTATTATCATAAATTAATTCTTCCTATTTTAGAACTTCAGTCAATGGAATTAGGTAGTATTTACTCATTTGTGTAAGGCTTATTATGTTCATCATAGTTGAGTGTATCAGTAGTTCCTCTGTATTGTTCAGTAATTTTCTATTGTATGCATATATCAGTTTGTTTATCCTTTTTTTTTAAATAAATCTTTATTCAGATTATTACAGATGTTCCTCTTTTTCCCCCTCCATAGCTCCCCTCCATCTGGTTCCCACCCCACCCCATGCCCTTACCCCCCCGCCACTGTCCTCATCCATAGGTGTAAGATTTTTGTCCAATCTCTTCCCGCACCCTTCACACCCCCATCCCCCTGAGAATTGTCAGTCCACTCCCTTTCTATGCCCCTGCTTCTGTTATATTCACCAGTTTATTCTGTTCATCAGATTTTTTTATTGACTTAATTTTTAGATTCAGTTGTTGATAGATATGTATTTGTTGTCCCTTTGTTGTTCATAATTTTTATCTTTACCTTCTTCTTCTTCCTCTTCTTAAAGAATACCTTTCAGCATTTCATATAATCCTGGTTTGGAGGTCATGAACTCTAGCTTTTTCTTGTCTGTGAAGCTCTTTATCTGACCTTCAATTCTGAATGATAGCTTTGCTGGGTAAAGTAATCTTGGTTGTAGGTTCTTGATATTCATCACTTTGAATATTTCTTGCCACTCTCTTCTGGCCTGCATGGTTTCTGTTGAGAAATCAGCTGACAGTTGTATGGGTACTTCCTTGTAGGTAACTGATTTCTTTTCTCTTCTTGCTTTTAAGATTCTCTCTTTGTCTTTTGCTCTTGGCATTTTAATTATGATGTGTCTTGGTGTGGTCCTCTTTAGATTTCTCTTATTTGCCTCGACTTGTAAGTCTATTTCTTTCATCAGGTAGGGGAAATTTTCTGTTATTACTTCTTCTAATAGGCTTTCAATATCTTGCTCTCTCTCTTCTTCTGGCACCCCCATAATTCGGATGTTGGTACGCTTGAAGTTGTCCTAGAGGCTCCTTACACTATCTTCATATTTTTGGATTCTTTTTTCTTTTTGCTTTTCCAGATGGGTGTTTTTTGCTTCCTCATATTTCAAATCTTTGACTTGATTCTTGGGATCCTCTAGTCTGCTGTTGGATCTCTGTATATTATTCTTTATTTCAGTCAGTGTATGCTTAATTTCTGCCTGGTCCTTTTCCATTTTTTTTGGTATTCTCATTAAGATCCTTGAAGGTCTCACTAAGTTCCTTGGAGGTTTGTAGAAGATTCTTCAGTAACTTTATAACTGTGGTTTTTGAACTCTAAATTCAGTAATTTGCTTTCCTCCATTTCTTTTATTTGTGACATTTTCTTTGTCTCTGCATTTTGGCTCCTTCCCTGTGTTGATAGAGTGGCTTTGTGTGGTAGGTGTCCAATTGGGCACAGTGTCTCAGCCTCTCCAATCACCTGAGGTGGACATTCTTGGTGCACCCCTTTGTGGGCTGTGTGCACAATCTTGTTGTAGTTAAGCCTTGATTGCTGTTGGTATCCCTGGGAGGAAATGATCTCCAGGCCTATTGATTCAAGGACCCACTGTGTCTATAGTGGAAGTACTGCTGCGCTGGAGACACCCTTATGGGGCATGCTTGCTTCACTGCGGCTTTGGTGTTCACTGAGTCTGCCTCTTGAGTGTGTCACTTATGGATGTGAGGAGTTCAAATCTGGTATCTGACCACTGAGTACACTGGCTCCTGGATCTCCAAGGAGGTGCAAATTCAACCACTGTTTGAGTCCACCCAGCAGGAGCTACCGTGAGATCTGCAGTTTTCTCCTCTTTGTTTGGGGTTTGGAAATTTTGGAGTTCTCTGACCCAGCTGCAGTTTGTTAGGTTAGGCTGCAAAAGGACAGGCGATTCATTTGTGCCGCTGCGCACAGCTTGGGTGGGGTTGTAAATTGGGTGGGGTGGGCTCTCAGAGACTCACCAGGGCGGAGCAAACAGTGATGGCTGTTTGTCAGCCGTTTCCAGGTCTCCAGGTCTACACGTCCCTGCGTCCCTGAGTCCTGCGCCCTCACAGTAACAATGATCCCTGCGAGCAGTTCTGCAAGAAAGCCACCCTTGCTTTCCGACCCGATGCCAAACAGTCCAGTTTCTCCCCGTAGGAGTCTGGGACCCTAGAATCTCACCAGAAATGAGTTCAGTGCATTCAGGAGCTTGTAACTCCCGATTGATTAAAACCGCGCACCCAGGTGCAGCCCGGTTTGCGCACCTCCGTACCTCTGTTCCACCGCACCTCCTACCCAGCCTCAATGCTCTTTTTTCTTTCCTTCTAGTTGTAGAACTTCCACTCATCTAGCTTTCCCATGGTTCTGGATGATAGCCGTTTTGTCTTTTAGTTGTAGTTTTAATGTGGTTGTGGCGGGCGGCAAGTACAGGTATATACCTTATGCCGCCATCTTGATTGTCTATCTCTTTTGTTGATAGACACTTGAGCTGTTTCTAGTTTTTGTTTATTATAAACTAGAGGCCCGGTGCATGAAATTCAGCCAAGCACTGTTAGGGTCCCTAGCGGCTGGTGGCGGCTGGGCAGGTATTCCCTCCCTTCCCCTGGCTGGCCATGCCCTCTGGTCGAACTCCCGGATGAACTCCCGGTCGAGGGGACAATTTGCATACTACGCTTTTATTATATAGGACTAGAGGCCCAATGCATGAAATCTGTGCAAGGTTGCTCAGCCCTCACAGCCCCGGCTGCTTCGGCCCTGGTAGCCCCGGCTTTGTCCAGAAGGTCGTCTAGACGGTCTGCTGTTTGGTCTAATTAGCATATTAGCTCTTTATTATATAGGATAATGATGCTAGCAATATTTGTGTGCAAGGCTCTTTGTAGACATGTGTTTTAATTCCTCTTGAAAATGTTACCAAGACTGGAATTTCTGGGACATAAAGCAGATATATATTTAATTTTAATGAAACTGTCAAACAGTTTTTCACAGTGGTTGTATCATTTTGTTGTTCTGATAGCTAAATGATTGTTCTGGTTGCTCCACAACCTTGTCAACATTTGGTATTTTAAGTCTTTTTCATTTTGACCTTTCCAGTATGTGGGTAGTGATATCTCATTGTGGGCTTTTATAATTTTGATGAATTCCCTAGTTCTTTTCCTGAAGTAAATTGGGAGTTTAATAATGGTGGCAAAAAAAAAAAAAAAAAAAATGGTGACAGAGGTACCTCAGCAAGGGAAGCAGAACTACTGTTGGGCTAAAGGTGTTAATTGGCCTATGATGAAGCCATCATGGCTCCACAGAACAAAATTCAGCAAAAGATTGCTGTGTAGAGCTCTCTGGTCTCAGAGCTGATGGAGCTTTCAGTCCTGCAACAAGGAGTTTGTGGAGAATGACACCAGTCAACAGAAGATCAAAGACCTCCACACAAAGTATGTGGTTCGTAGGTCGACACTCAACCACTGCAAGACTAGGCCTGATTGGAACTGCTCCTATTGAGCTTTTGGACTTTTCCACTTGTAGGTGCAAAGAATTACCATGGTTTAAGGCTGTGTCTGCGAAGAGCAAAGAGAACCTGGTGTCCCAGGGCTTCATGAGTTCACAGTTGAGGATTTCCACAACACTTTCATAAACTTGGTCGAGCAGGTTGAGTAGCAGATTTCAGTAGTCCACCTGTTGGCCTCCTTTAATGATCAGAGAACCTTGAACTACCTTGTGGTCTACCTGCGACCGCTCACCTCAGGCTGCTTACAGTGTGAGAGCAGTTCCTTAAGCACTTCATCGGGGCGTGGGCGGTCTGTCAAGGAGTTCTGTCTTCAGGAAGTGGAGGCCATGTACAAATGGAGTAACCACAGCCATATCATCATGTTGACCCAGGCCCTCAGGGACCCAGTGTGGGTGGGAACACATATCAGCACATATTTCCTGAGTGCTCCAAGCCCAAGGTCTGCGTATTCTATTGACTGGAGCCTGTGATGTGCTATGCACATAGGGTTGGCCCCATGTGGCAGCCACTGCTCTGGTAGCCCTCCCCTTTGCCAGGCACCAAATATGTACAAAGGTTTTTTTGTAGTTCTACATGATCCTATTTCATGATTCCCATGCCCCTCCCCCCTTTTCCTGGCATTCAACTTTCCATGTATGCTGGCAGTGGAACACATTTTTAATTTAAAAAAGAATTAGAAAAAGTGGAGATTTCATATCAGGTACTCAAGATGATTGAAATTTTCATCTAAAGATTTTATTTGAAGAAAATTGAGAAGGTTAAAAGTTTTTTTATACAGAATAATGTAGCTTTTTGTTTTCAATCAGCTGATTCATTTTTTATGAATTGCTATCTGCTTAATGCTACCTTTATATTAATTTTAAAATTTAATTTGCTTTTATATTTCTCTCTTTTTGGATTTTTAAAAATCTAAATGAAGTATAGCATAGTTTCCTGCTTTAAGTAGATGTGTGATAAATATTGAATTAAATTGACTAAAAATAATTTTAATACTAAAATTAGCCCAATTGAATTTATAAATTTTTTTGTGACATTTTGCTTTTATTTATTTTTTTCTTCTATTTTGGTAGACTCTCAGAGAATAGGATTTCCAAGAAAAAAAAGTTCTTATTGTGTTTATAAAATATTATAATATAAACATGAAACGTTTTGGAGAAGAAGAAAAGATACATTTTCATGGTAGAAATTATTTAGCTTTTGAAACCTTTTGTTTGTTAAAGTCTTTTAGTTATGGTAGTTCATACTTTCGAGTTAAGACCAATTTTACTTTTCTGTGTTATCAATCTTGGGTAAAGAATTTTTATGAAACTTCTCTGTTTTGGTAATGAGCTGTAGTACTTTCAGTTTCCTTATTATGATGAGTTTTCCTCTTTCCTCAGCCAGCATATGGTATATTTCTAATATTAATTGGAGATATTTGATTTGGAATTTTTTTCATTGGGAGCTTTTTGAATACATATTTTAGTGAAGTGATTTAGGTAAATTATTCTATAATCACTTAACCAAATTTAAAGCTTGCATTTGAAGTTTTATGAAGTTGTGGACTGAAATTTTCATTAAATTTTTTACATACAGGTACCACTTAATGCACAAGTTTATGAACTTTTAACTGTCTTCATGGATTGGATTTCGGATTATCACCTTAGCAAATTGAAAAGTGAAGAATCTGGGATGGATGGTGAAAAGCTGCAATTTAAATTTGCTTCTCAGAGAAATGATATTCAGGAGAAGTGTATAAAGGTTTGTTTTTTTATTTTGAAATATATGACTCTAAAAAGATTCATTTCATACTTAATTGTAATTAATTCATATTTATATATTTTTTAACATGATAGGAATTTTAAAAAAATAGAGACCAGAAATTAAAAACCTACCTTCAAAATGAAAAAATAATTGTGTATTCGAGTTAGGCAAATGATCAGTGATGTGAACAGTTTGTGATACATACCATTTTAGGATTCATTCCCACTAAAATAAGGGATGAAAGCTCTATTTTCAGGGGTCTTCTCACCAGTAAAGAGAGATGACTGTTTTGTTAAATTATAGACATTAATTTGGATATTGGTACTCATGATTTCTAGTTGGCATAAATGGTCATTAGGGATTGACAGTTATATTCCATAAGAAATACATTAAGATTTTGAAGCATTTACATCTAAAGTTATTTGGTTTAACATTTTCAGAAAAAATTCCCTGATTATCATATACAGGCCAGGGTTTCATATTGGGAAATTACTTTTAGTTTTCATCCTTATCTAAAAAGTTTCTTCTAAATTTCTTTTATATTAGACCAGTGGTTCTCAACCTTCCTAATGCCGCAGCCCTTTAATACAGTTCCTCATGTTGTGGTGACCCCCAATTTCATTGTTACAAATTGAACATAATTAAAGCATAGTGATTAATAACAAAAACAATCTACAGCGGTTCTCAACCTGTGAGTCACGATCCCTTTGGGGGACAAACGACCCTTTCACAGGGGTCGCCTAAGACCATCGGAAAACACACATATAATTACATATTGTTTTTGTGATTAATCACTATGCTTTAATTATGTTCAATTTGTAACAATGAAAATACATCCTGCATATCAAATATTTACATTACGATTCATAACAGCAAAATTACAGTTATGTAGTAGCAACGAAAATAATTTTATGGTTGGGGGTCACCACAACATGAGGAACTGTATTAAAGGGTCGCAGCATTAGGAAGGTTGAGAACCACTGCCTAAGATGTTCATATCTCCTATTTTTATTTTTATTTTATTGGGGTGGCATTGGTCAACATGGACATATAGATTTCATGTGTTTGTTTTTATGTTATAAGATCAGTATATTGCACCATGCCCCCACCACTCAAAGTCAAATCTTCTTCTGTCACCTTATATTAGGACCCTCTTTTCCTCCCACCTCTTCCCTCTGGCAACCACCACAGTGCTGTTTGTGTTCACGAGTTTTAATTTTATATTCCACATATGAGTGAAATCATATTTCTTTACTTCCTTTTTTCAGTTGATTTCTAATTTCAAGGCATTATGGTTGGAGAATATGCTTAGTATAATTTCAGTCTTCTTGAATTTGTTGATGCTAGTTTTGTGACACAACATATGGTCTGTCCTTGACAATGTTCCATGTGCACTGGAGAAGAAGTATAATCTGAGGTTGTGGGATGAAAGGTTCTGTAAATGTCAGTTATGTCCATTGGTCTCTAGTGCTTCATTTAAGGCCAATATTCCTTTATTGATTTTCTCTTTGGTTGATCTGTCTAGAGCTGTCAATGGAATATTAAGGTCCCCAACTATGATTGTGTTTTGATCTTTTTCTCCCTTTAGTGCTGTAATTGTTTTATATATTTCAGTAGTCTTTGGTTGGGTGGATATATATTAAGAAATGTTATGTTTTCTTAATATAATGTCCCCTTTATCATTATAAAGTGTCATCTTTATCTCTTGTTATCTTGAAATCTACTTTGTCAGATATAAGTATGGCGACACCAGCTTTTCTGTGGATGTTATTTGCATGGAGAATCATTTCCTACCCTTTTACTTTGAATCTACCTTTGCCTTTTCAGTTTAGATATGTCTCTTGTACGCAGCATCTTTGAGTTTTGTTTTTGATCCACTGTATTACTCTGTGCCTATTTACTAGTGAGTTCAGACCACACTTACATTTAGGGTAATTACTTGAAGTATGAGGATTTTCTATTGCTATTTTATCTTTTATTCCCCCTCTGGTAGCTCTGTACCTCCATTCGTTCTTTTTCTTTGTGTTTCTGTCTGTTGTTTTTGTTTGGTGGTATTCCATACTTTCCTCTGCTTCCTTTTTTTTAAAGCTATGTGTCCCAGTTTGGGGATTTTTGTGTGTGGTTACCAGTAGGTTTATAAAAAATAAGCTTACATACTAGTATATACCATAGTTTTTGTTCTTTTGAGTGCATCTGATCTTCATCCTCCTTTGTCAGTTCAGAACTTTCCCCCTCCCCTTTTAAGTTTTTGTTGTCACAAATTATCCGTGTTTATGTTGTAAGTTTTTTGTGATCTTACTCATAGTGTTGTGACCTTATGTCCCAAAATATCACTCTGCTCTTGGCTGGATAAAGATCTTTGTAGGGAGACCAATGGGGTCGGCTGGGAACCTGGAGTTTTTATTAATCTAGTGCTCAGAATATTGCGACAGATGGTCCCTCCTCCAATCCAGCTACTAAGGGCTCCTTGAGACTCTTCAGACCCATAAGCTTGGCCTCTGCCTTTGTATCCTCTAAGAAGCTCAAAATGCAAGGTGTGGCATGCAGGGCTCCTGAAGGTGAGCCAGGCTGTATCACCTGCCCTGGTGCTAGTAGGCACCACTAGCTCATCTGGGAAAATGGCCATTTTGGTTTGGATGCGTATGAATGACCAAATGCTGGACTCCTGGCTATTGCTTTTCTGTGTGTCTCCGCCTTGTTTCCTATATCATCCTCTCCTCAGGCACTTCAAGCCCACGGCTCCCTCCCTGCACCAAAGCTTCCAATGAGTACTTGGGGGTGAGCAGTTGCAAATGAAAACTGTGCTCTGGGTTTAGAGAAGAAAACAAACAAAACAAAACCCAAAAACCCCACAAAACCGTGGCTTTCTCTCCCACTGGTTCTGGTCTGCCAGCTCCAGACTCCACTACAGCCAGCAGCCCTGCCACCTTTCGCAGCTGGCTGGATGTTACATGTGCTGCAGGTCTCCCCTCTGGTGCTCCGGACTTTTATCTTCTGAGGGAACAGACCCTCCCGAAGCCCAGTGCTCCCTCCTCTCTTGGCCTGCCAGCCTGCTGCCTCTGGGAGCTGGATCCGCTCTTCTCATGACCTCGCCTTTTCTACCAGTCTCCAGGTGTTTTCTGTCCTTCCTTGAAATGTCACTTTCTCAGTTGGTAATTCCAGGTGAATGTTCTCCAATTTAGTTCTGGGACGAGGTACAAGGCAGGTCTGCCTATTCAACTGCCTTTTATTTCTCATCCCCACATAATTCTGATATTGCTTTTTCTGATGGAGTCACATAGTTCTCTAGAGGTCTTTCATTTTTCTTTAAGCTCAGATATCTCTCTTATTCCCTCTGTCATTTCCAGATTCCTATCTTTGATATCACTGATCCTTCCTCCATCTTGTTTTCTATGTTCAGTAGTTCATTTTTTGTTGTTAATCCTCACCTGAGGATATTTTTTTCATTGATTTTTTTTTTTTTGAGAGAGTGAAAAGGAGGGGGAGAGACAAAAACATTAATGTGAGAGAGATACATTGGTTGGTTGCCTTCTTTACATGCTTCAACAGGGCCTGCAACTGAAGTATGTGCCCTTGACCAGAATTGAAACCAGGACCTTTCAGTTCATGGGCCGACACTCTATTCATTGAGCCAAAGCTCAGGTTTATAGTTCACTCTTTTTGTTTGTTTGTTTGTTTATTTCAGAAAGGGAAGAAGGGGGTGGAAATATAAATAATAAGAGAGAATCTTGATGGCCTGCCTCCAACACACCTCCTGCTGGGGTTCGAGATCCCAACTCAGGCATGTGCGCTGACCAGGAATCGAACTGTGACCACCTGGTTCTTGGGTTGAAACTCAATCACTGAGCCAAAATGAGGTGGCTGTAAGTTCACTCTTTTTTTTCTTCTTAATTTTAATAAATCTTTATTGTTCAGATTATTACAGTTGTTCCTCTTTTTCCCCCCCATAGCTCCCGTCCACCCGGTTCCCACCCCGCCCTCTGCAATTACCCTCCCCCCGCACACTGTCCTCATCCATAGGTGTACAATTTGGGTCTCTTCCCGCATCCCCCACGCCCCTTTCCCCCCGAGAATTGTCAGTCCACTCCATTTCTATGTCCCTGATTCTATTATATTCACCAGTTTACTCTGTACATCAGATTTTTTATTCACTTGATTTTTAGATTCACTTGTTGATAGATGTGTATTTGTGGTTCATAATTTGTATCTTTACCTTTTTCTTTTTCCTCCTCTTCTTAAAGAATACCTTTCAGCGTTTCATATAATACTGGTTTGGTGGTGATGAACTCCTTTAGCTTTTTCTTATCTGTGAAGCTCCTTATCTGACCTTCAATTCTGAATGATAGCTTTGCTGGGTAAAGTAATCTTGGTTGTAGGTTCTTGCTATTCATCACTTTGAGTATTTCTCGCCACTCCCTTCTGGCCTGCATAGTTTCTGTTGAGAAATCAGCTGACAGTTGTATGGATACTCACTTGTAAGTAACTAACTGTTTTTCTCTTGCTGCTTTTAAGATTCTCTCTTTGTCTTTTGCTCTTGGCATTTTAATTATGATGTGTCTTGGTGTGGTCCTCCTTGGATTCCTTTTGTTTGGGGTTCTCTGCACTTCCTGGACTTGTAAGTCTATTTCTTTCACCAGGTAGGGGAATTTTTCTGTCACTATTTCTTCAAATAGGTTTTCAATATCTTGCTCTCTCTATTCTTCTGGCACCCCCATAATTCGGATGTTGGTACACTTGAAGTTGTCCTAGAGACTCCTTACAATATCTTCATATTTTTGGAATCTTTTTTCTTTTTGCTTTTCCAGATTGGTGTTTTTTGCTTCTTTGTATTTCAAATCATTGACTTGATTCTTGCAATCCTGTAGTCTGCTGTTGGATCTCTGTATATTATTCTTTATTTCAGTCAGTGTATGCTTAAATTCTAGTTGGCCCTTTTTCATTACCTCGAGGTCTCACTAAATTTATCAGCGGTTTCTAGAAAATTCTTGAAAAACCTT